CTGGAAGTATCGTAAACATAATTAGAAATGAAAATAAAAAATAAATGTTTACCACAGTTGTAAGCAATAAGCTTCTGCTTATAGTGATCTTTTCCAAATTTTGCGATAGTGGCCAAAGATTTTATTTATATTCATTGCTAACGTCTACAGATATAGTGGAAAGGTGCTACATAATAGTTTAGATAATTATTCTCATCCTTTCAGAATAAAAATGCCTTAGTGGTAGTAAATGTAAGTGAAAGCTAATGCAATTGTAGGGCTTATTCATATAAGTGTGAAAAGATACAACGTTCCACCCTCCTGCATCTTAAATGACCTGGGCTGATTATGGTACAGATCAGTGTTTTATGCAAATCGCCAACCAAAGCAAAAAAAACAACAAATAAATCCATGTAAATGCATCTAAGGTTTGTCGGGACAAATTTACTAAACTTTATAAATGGTCAAATAATACTGATTAATACTTTATATAAATAGTTAAAAATTCCTATGTAATTCAATATATTTATTACCTGATTCACCATTTTTAACTGCAACCTTCCTACAGGAAGATCTTGACCCCAACTCAGACTACATCGTGCGGCTCAGGTCAGTGGACAACAAAGGTCAAACTGGCCTACCCTCGCCTCTGGTGGAGGTTCTGATGCCAGATGACGCAGGCATTCAACAGCCAGCCGGCTCCTCTTCAGAAGCTCAAAACCTCGGACCAAATGACTTCGATTCTGACATAACCTCTCCAATGGACGGTAAAATCGGCGAAGCTTCAACAGGCATTGTCAAGTTGTCCGCTGACGAGGCGGCAACGATTGTTCAGGGTCTGCATTGCACAAGAGTTGGCAGTCGTACGATGCAAATTGAATGGCAATCCCCGAGGCTGATGACCGGACTCGAAGAATATCAGGTAGGATGAGAAAGAAGCCAAATCAACAGAGTCGACCGCAAGCAAATGTCGGGCTGTGCATGGGTTGAATGGTGTGATTTGACTTTCATAGTGCAGTTTTTTTGTGTCACATCAACTTTATCCTCGTTGTAATAACACATTTTGAATAATAAATATTTTTCGCATCAAGTATTGTTTCGAGACTACCAGTAACTCAGTAATATGAGATTGTTGGGAAACTTTTCTACCAGTTTAAATGAAATTGGAGTTGACTAAATATCCTTGCGTTAATACAGCAATTAATAC